GCAGCACTATTTACAATAGCCAAGATATGGAAGCAACCTAAGTGTCCACTAATAGATGAATGGATAAAGAAGTTGTGGTACATATGCACAATGGAATATTACTCAGCCATAAGAAGAAAACAAATCCTACCATATGCAACAAAATGGATGGAGCTAGAGGGTATTATGCTCAGTGAAATAAGCCAGGTGGAAAAAGATAAGTACCAAATGATTTCACTCATCTGTCGAGTATGACAACAAAGCAGAAACTGAAGGAACAGAACAGTAGCAGACTCATAGAACCCAAGAATGGACTAACAGTTACCAAAGGGAAAGGGACTGGGCAGAGTGGGTGGGAAGGGAGGGATAATGGGATTAAGGGCATTATGATTAGCACTCATAATATAGGAGGGGCATGGTGAAGGAAGTATAGCACAGAGAAGACAAGTAGTGACTCTATAGCATCTTACTATGCTGATGGACAGTGACTGTAATGGGGCATGTGGTGGGGACTTGATAATAGGGGTAATGTAGTAATCAGAATGTTGCTCATGTGAAATGTGAGCATAAGATTGTATATCAACTATACCTTAATAGAAAGAAAAATAGAGTCAGGAAGCCCTGAAGGGGGAGCTCTCACACATACACCTGGAGCAGCTTACTTTGCATTCACAGGCAGGAGGAAGCTTACCTTACTATCCCAGTAGAAGGAAGGAAGAATTCCTCCTGGCCCATCAACAGCCCAGCCAATGAGAAACTTTCACAACCCAGCCAACAAGAAGCCTCTACATTTCAAATTCCCAGTTTCTTCCAGTGAACTGGACTTTTGTTGAAAAACACCACTCCCAGCTCCCCCTTTTTTCTATAAAAGAATGCTCCTCTCCTTTATTCTCCAGACTTGCCCATAGTTTGCCATAGTTTGCATATCCCAAATTGTAATTCAACTGCTCTTCCTGAATAAATTCTTTTTGCTGGTGAAAAAAAAAAAAAGTAATCTGACAGTCTTTGTCTATTAACCAGAGTATTTATTTTACTTATATGTAATTACTGACATTCCTTGATGTTTTCATTTTGTTACTTGTTAGGTGTTTTTCTTTTCCCTTATCCTTTCTTGTCTTTGGTGGGGCAACAAATCACTCTATTCTTTTATTCTATCTCTACTAGCTTGGAAGTTATTCTTACTGCTTCTATTATTTTTCTGGCTACCCTAGAAATTTCAGCAAGAAAACTTAATTTATCAAAATCTGAACTCAATTCATGTATTTGCCTTCTCCCAAACCAGGTACTTTACAACACTCTAACTGCATTTAGCCTTCTTCCCATTTCATGAACTATTTTATCAGGCATTTTTATTCTACACTGTTTTTTTGTAACTCCACAAACCATTATTATTATTGCTGTTGTTGTCATCATTGCTGTATTAACAGCCAATTTTTAGTTTTATCTTTGGTTGGGTCTTAACTGCATTTAACTCTCATCTTTTAAGTTTTTAATGTCAGCTGTATTTTTCATTTCTGCAAGTTCATTTTTTTTCAAACCTGTTATGGCATTTTATAGTTTTCTGTTATCTCCATATGTCTTCAAACTGATCTTTTATTTTCATAAATATAGATAGATTATTTCAAATTCCAAAGTGTTTGCAGGTCTTTTTTTCTTATTGGATATTGTTCCTCTGGATTTCCAACTGTGGTGTTCAGTTTCCTTGTATTTTTGAGTATTTTTCATTGTGTGCTCATAATTTAACTTGAAAGATAATTAGTAGGAGTAATTTGAGGGCTGGATGAGTAACCATCTTCCAGACAGGATTGGATTTGATTCCATCAAGCACTTCAGTTCACTGCTGCCCCTTAAATTCTACATCACCCAAGAGAAACAAACCTGATCTCCATAATCTAACTTCTAGGAATTCATTCTCAGGACCTAATATAAAAATAAATTTATACACAGATATTCAAAACAATGTTATTTCGTATTTAAAGAACTGTTAACAAACTGTATGTCCAATAATAGCGAAAATGCACATAAGATATTAAAATGAGTTATTGTATTATAAGTATATAATATTATGGAATTTTTTAAATAATTAAGCTAAAAGATAAAAATTACATGTTATATAATTGCACATATGTAAATGAAAAACTATGCATAAAACAACTCTAAAACAGTGCTAATAGAACTTTTGTGACCATAAAAATGTTCTATACATGCACTGCAATCCAGTAACCATTAATCACACACAGCTGTTTAGCACTTGAAACATGACTAGTGTGACTAAAGGATTACATTTTAAATTTTATTCAATTTTAACTATTTTAAATTTAGATAGCCAGGTATAGCTATGGTATTGGGCAGTGCAGATATAGAAATATTGACAGTGATTTTTGGGAAGTGCCTGAGACTTTTGGTGATTTTCTCCCCTTTTTAGTTTTCTAAAGGTCCAAATGTTCCTTAACATTTTACAGTAAAAAGGCTTTAACCAAAATAGCACCCCCATAAAATATAGGTAAAGCATTGTTATAAAGCCCGGTAGAACTTCAAAGTCCAAGTCTGTACAATTTAACAAGAAGTTAAATGTATCATGTAGCCAAACTGTCTTGGCTGTCATATAATTTTAGGTAAAACTGATTTTTAAAGAATACCAAGTAAAAAAAAAAAATCACAAGGTAATTACCTTTCCACATGCTATCCTAGAATCACAACAAACAATGGATATGTTTCTGTTGTTTAGTTCATAATCAAATAGCCTGTCATCAGTTAGCTCTTTTTCTGGAATATCCATGGAAAGTTGATAAGAAATTTTTTTTAAGTTCTTTGAATCTAATGGGAAAAGAATCACATTAAAGTGCATACATGTTTTAAATTTTCCAAAACCTCTCTTCAGAAATGAAATTTCAAACTTTATTACAAATGCATTGATTCATCACACTTTTTTTTTTTGAGAGGGCATCTCTCATATTTATTGATCAAATGGTTGTTAACAACAATAAAATTCTGTATAGGGAAGTCAATGCTCAATGCACAATCATTAATCCACCCCAAGCCTAATTCTCGTCAGTCTCCAATCTTCTGAAGCATAACGAACAAGTTCTTACATGGTGAACAAATTCTTACATAGTGAATAAGTTCTTACATGGTGAACAGTACAAGGGCAGTCATCACAGAAACTTTTGGTTTTGATCATGCATTATGAACTATAAACAATCAGGTCAAATATGAATATTCATTTGATTTTTATACTTGATTTATATATGGATCCCACATTTCTCCCTTTACTATTATTATTTTTATTTTTAATAAAATGCTTCATCACACTTTTTTAATGGAAGAAAAATGAGGACCATTAAGTTAAAGTGAGGGCTTCTTTTGTTAAAAAATGAGAACATTCCTTCGTTTAAAGAAGAAAAATGATTTTTCAGTAAGTGGGATTTTTTCTGGCCTTACGTAGTAGGAAACAATTCAATATGGAACTTTATACTAGGAATTTAGTTGAAAAGTAAACTAAACAAAAAATATATTCTCAAAGTATCTTTTCAATAGCTCTGGGTGGTAGAAGAGGAGTCCAGTGCTCAGAAGTTTAAGTAATTTACCCTAAATCATACAGCTCTTAAGGAAAAAACTAAGATATAAATCTCGAACTTCTGGTTCTAAAATCAATGCTCCTTCAATTGTACCAGTACTACAGCTATACTGGCCAACTGATAGAAACCATATATGAAGAAAGGAATATGATTTACTTTTGACAGATTCTGATATCCCAGCTCAGAAGTTTAAGTAATTTACCCTAAATCATACAGCTCTTAAGGAAAAAACTAAGATATAAATCCAGAACTTCTGGTTCTAAAATCAATGCTCCTTCAATTGTACCAGTACCAGAGCTATACTGGCCAACTGATAGAAACCATATATGAAGAAAGGAATATGAATTACTTTTGACAGATTCTGATATCCCAGCTAGAAAACAAAATGGAATGTGTGCTTAATAAAACAAAAACAAGAGACAATGAACTCAAAACTCTTTATAGCTAATCTATAAAGTGCTCTACAGAGGTCGCCAATTTATTCCAATCAATAACACAATGAGCTACTGATTAAGAACTTCAAAAGCCAGAGACCTGAAACATCAGTTATTCCCCCCTCTAATTAACTTCATCTAGATTAAGATTCTTCTGAGTCATTTGACTGATGCATTGGGTGAAATAAAACATTTAAATATTATTTTTTAAATATGCTAATTTTAGCTCTTGGTCATACGATGAGCTTTCTGATGAACAACTGATCTGTAACGTCAGCACTGATGCACTCACCTTCTTCAGAGAAAGTAGTCTGTTCATTTGTTATTGCAAACTGTCTGGCCATTTGTTGCTCCTGTTTTCTACACAACCAAAAAATGTGATGCATAAATACAGCTGAAGTTTAAAACAGAATACTACACATTTTAATTGCTTAAATGCCATTCCTTGTTATTTTTATCTGTTATTACTTATGAATCCAGTCACTTATCAGTGCACATGAAACTGTACTCTGCTTAGTGGACAAATTTCCCCACTGTAGGAATTCTGAATTGCCCTAAAAAATTTGTGATTGGTAAATTTCTACTTTAAATCAGTGAGTTCATAGAGTTTCTGGGAGCTTCTGAATCTCATAACATCCACCAGGAATTGTAATAGGCTTGCTTTGGGCAATTTTTGTTTCTTCACTGGGAACTATCTTCAAAATTATATATTGCAAAAAAACAAGGTTCATTTTACAAAAAGCTCTCCAAGGGGGCCTATCTGAATTTCAATATCAAAGGCTCAATGTTACCTCGCCAGGGCTTTTTCCTTTGCTTTGAGTCTATCAGCTTCACTGCCATGGGCTGTGTGAAGGCCAATAGAGATTAATTCGGCTTTGCAGCTTTGGATTTTTTGTTTTTCCTCATAGATGTGGTCAATCAGATTTTGGAAATAACTGCAACAAGGGGCCTGAAAAATAAAGAAGTTGTTTTCATCTCATCAGTCCAAGATGCAGTTAATTAGAGGGGGGAAAACCAAAAATAGCTAATAGGATTTCGATAACAATCTATACTAACTTCTCTTTAGTAACAGCTTTACTTAGATATAATTCAAATACCATAGCATTTGCCCATTTAAGCTATAAAATTCTATAGTTTTTAGTATATTCACAGAGTTGTGTAACCATCACCAAGATCAATTTTAGAACATGAAACCTGTACCCATTAATAATCACTTTATCCTCTTCTTTCAGCTCCCAGCAACCACTAATCTCTTTTCTATCTTTCTAGCTTTGCCTATTCTGTACAGTTCATATAAATGGAATCATATAATTTTACTTCGTGAATGGCTTCTTTCACTTGGCATAATGTTTTCAAGGTTCATGTATGTTGTAGCATATATTAGTACATAATTTCTTTTAATGGCTGAATAATATTCCACTGTATGGATATACCACATTTACCTACCCATTCATCAGTTGATGGACATTTGGGTTTTCACTTTTTGTCTGTTATGAATTGTGCTGCTATGAACATTTGTATACAAGTTTTGTGTGTACATATGTTGCCAATATCTTGCATATATACCTAGGGTTGGAATTGCTAGGTTATGTGGTAGGTCTAACTTTGTGAGGAATTGCCCAACTATTTTCCAAAGTAGCTGAACCATTTTATATTCTTCAGCAGTGTGTGAGGGTTCCAGCTTCTCTACATGCTTGTCAACAGTTGTTGTTATCTGTCTTTTTGATGATAGCCATCATAGTGGGTGTGAAATGGGATCCCACTGTAGTTATGATTTGCATTTCCCCAACAGCTAACAGATTACTCTTCTAAAAATGGCAATGCAGAAGAAAATAATACGTAAGTTTAAAAATGGAATTTAAAAACATCACTGTTTCCTGAGTAAGCCAGCTATAGAACTTACATGTTCTATTGATTCGAAGCTATCGTAGTCAGAGTAAAGATCCACATTGGAAAGAAATGTTCTTAGATCACTCCCACAAAATTCACATTTGGGTGATAACTCCTCCTCTTCTTCCTTCAGAGAGAAGAAAAGATATGATGGAGTACCCACACGAATGCCCTGAGCCTCTGAGAACAAGAGGAGCCAGGGCTCTGGGCAGGGCCAGCAAGTGTCTAGGAGGACAGCAGCACTGGTGGCAGGTGTGCAAATCTGCTTGGGAACAACTGTCAGACATGTTGGGGTCTCCCAGTAATAGTTGATAGGGAACTTTCAGAGGGTTGAAAACCTTTACCAGAAGGCACCAAGCCAGCAAGATCGGTATATTCCAGTAATGAGACATCATTTTTATTTAAGGGCTGCTGAGGACGGAGAAGGCTGAGGTAGTGTTCTGAGGGCCTCTGCCTGGTGCCAGAGCACAGCTGAGCCATCAGGAGCTGTGTGTGTCTTTAAGATGCCTCTTCAGCATAAGAACAAAGCTGCAGAAATGCCTTTACTGTTGACATCACAGTCCCTTGTAGGGGAGGAGGACATACAGTGTGTAACTAGATGCAAGGGACAAAGGATAACACATACTAGACTTATGCAGGTGGTCTAAGGTGTTTGAATATCATAAACTCTTTCAAAAAGTGACTGGTAGGAAGAAGTCTTTTCATTAGTATGTCAGCCACCATTTACAATGATCAACGTCCTAAATCAGAGTCCTTTCTCAAGGGGAAGCCCAGGTTGCAGTCCCGAATTCTCCTGTCTGTGCTGTGAAGTTGATTCAGGAGGAGTTGGAGGAGACCAGGGGTAGTAAAAGGGAGTTAGGGGCTCAGGTGACTCAGCGAGGGGCTGACACTACAGTTGTGTTAGTGATCTTAGCTCATGACTACAGAGGCTCCTGGGCAGGCGAGCGGTCAAGCCTCATCAGCACAGGCCTCCAGGAAAAGACCCAGATCACACAGGACTTGCAGGTCACGAGCACTTCCAGGACATCTGTATTTGCCATGGAAACCATTCTCTCGGGGATGGCAAAATGGCCACTGTGGGACTAAAGGGTGGCCGAGGTGTACAGGGCAGCCAGGCATTCACCACCCTAGAATAAGGTCCAATGTCATTAGGCCCCTGAAACTGCCTGGTTGTAAGCGCTGCACATTGCTGAAAGCAGAACACTTGGGGAATAAAGCCCTGCAATAGAGAAATGGCAGTAAAAAACCTAGGATGGCCACCAGATGATGGAGTAGGGCACAGAGTGTGGCACTGCCAGGTCATCTGCAACCTGCTCCACACAAGGGTCTGGGTGATGAACTCCTCATCCCATGGTCCCTTCACCCTTCACTTGGGCATAAAGCAAGGTCTTCAAAAGATCATGAAAGGTTTGGACCCTGTACCTGAAGAGGGTGTGGCTAGAGGCGAGCTGCAAGCCAGCCGCTGCTGCCTCAGAACTAGGCTAGTATCCAAGTCCCACCTAGAGGACCTGAAAGACCTGCTGAGCTGCAGGAGGAGCCCACCCTGCCCACGTGCCAGTGCGGGGACAACTCCCTGGAAAAAAGGCCGCAAAGCTCTCCTCATGTTCGGGCTGTTTCTGGGCGTCAGGGGAAGAAAGCTCAAGAAACTTCTCTGGATACAAACTTCTGTGGTTCAGAAAAGGGAAGGTCTCATGTTTAAATAAAGAGTCTCAACCTGAGGAGTCAACCTGAGGAGGGTGACCATAGGGTTGAGAAACCTGGGCAAATATAAACAGTAAATGTTGGTTAATGTTCTATTACATGATGTGTTTAGTGGGCTGCCTATTTTTGGAGTTGCATAGTTCAGTGTGCTGCACAAAATGGCGGTGGGGACATGTCAGCGCACCCACACCGCGTCCCCGCCGGCTCTGCCCGCACATGGCCATGCACTGCCTCACTGTTTTCAGTGAATAAGCTTGCGCCTTTAGTGTGTCCCAGAAGGAGCAACCAAGGGGGCTCCGACCCGGGAGTGTGCAGTTCCCTCCACAGAGCCGGGCCGGACCAGTTAGGAGATGATCCTGCCCCCAGTCAGTCCCCCACCACCTGCTGCACTGGGGTGGTGTGCCATCCTGTCGGAATTACCAGGTGGCCTTTCCCTTGATCATCAAGCACAGGCATATTAACTGGTCACTTAACAAACACAAACACAGCAAATGTTCACCTATGTTCCCAGGCTTTATGGCCACTGTTATGGGTTGAATTGTGTCCCCTGAAAAGATATTGAAGTCCTAACCCCTGGTGCCTGTGACTGTGGCCTTATTTAGAAATGGGGTCATTACAGATGGACTCCAGAAGAGGTCATTAGGGTCAGCCCTAATCCAGTATGACTGGTGTCCATGGAGAAGAGGGACACCTGGATACAGACACACAGAAGATGCTGGGACAACTGTGGCGAGATTGGAGTGATGCTGCCCCGAGCCCTCCGGAGGACTGACGACCTGGAGCAGCAGTGAGGGAGGGGCAAGGAAGGGTGCTTGCTCCCTGGCCGGTAGGAGACAACTTCCTGGTACTTGATTTTGGACTTCTGGCTTTCAGAACTGTGAAGCAATAAGCTGCTGTCATTTTAAGCCACCCAGTTGGTGGTACTTTGTTACAGCAGCCCTCGGAAATGAATAGAGCTATCCTTAGTGCTATTCCAAGTAAATGACCCCTTTGCCTGCTTTTTTCTTTTAAGTCTTCACTGCCTTTTGTGCAAGCCATTATGTGGCTTTTTATTATCTCATTTATTATAGTAAGAAAAAATATGGATTAAAATCACCTTGAAGTTAATGCCTAAACTGGAACTCTCTTGTCTGAACGCCAGAATGGGTGGTGGCCCAACACTAGGTAATGTTCTCAGAGAAGGCTCGAACAGGGTTAGGTAGTCTTCCTCAAACTAAATTTTAAAAAGAGAGAGAGAAAATTGAAGATTGAATAAGTGATTCTTTAACATGGGCACATTATGTTATTGGACTGACAAACATGTCTTACCTCCAACTCACATAAAATATTCAGTTTGGACTCTTCTGGATTAATTACCCATTTTTCTGAAGGGAAAAGGACAGACTTAGAAGGAAAGTTCAAAACCTTTGTGCGGTGTATGCCATTTTCTCTAGTTTGCAGATCCTAGTGTAACAGAGGAAAACTGAACTAATCCCTGTGTTTAAAATTCAACACCAACATTAACTGGAAAACAAACTCAAGTAGCCCCCAAAACCCTGTTACCATGAACAGGTGGCAGTTTCTTTTTGTTCCCCTTATTTTCTGAGTCTTAGGGTCAGATATAAGGCAGAAAGCTGATTTTGCAGAAACCAAGACATCCTGTCCCAAGTACCGAGGAGGAAGTAGTAAGAAAAACAAAAAGCAATTGAATGGGTGCAAGAAGGTCTGCTGGGCTCCTTGCAGGTTGCTACTGTTTGTGTCTTTGGTCATGAATACCACAGCCTCTCTCCCACGATTTCCCCCTTAAAGGCCCTAACTCCTTGTGCTTCGGGGGCACAGGGGTTCTTTAAGGCATAAGCCTGCCACTCCCTCCTTTCCTGGCAAATTATTAAACTATTCTTTTCCTTTCCTCAAAACCTTGTCAAAGTGTTTTGTGTTGTGACTCTGGTGACAAGGACTGGTTTTCAATAACACTAGCATGTCACATGCTCTGTTTAAATGTCCTGAAACCCTACTTTCTCACCACCTTCTTGCATATATTCCCAGAGGAGGGCTTTTCTCAAGGGTGGGCACCGTCCAAGTGAAGGCTGGTTGGTTCTCTAAAGGCAGTCTGCCTCTGCCAGCAGAGGACATGATCCCAAGCAGCCATTACCTCTTAACTTCACAGCTGGGCCTTCAGGTTTGCATTCTTTTATTACAGAGGGTGGTTTCTTCCCTGTGAAAAGAGTGTACATTTGTCATCAATTCTGACAAGGTAGGAAAACAGGTTAATATAAAAGAAAATAAACCTTTTGGAAAGAAAAGTACCCTTTGTTGTGTTTGTTTTATCTTTTAATATTTTGCATTTTCCGCATAACATTTTATCAACAGTAAGGAACACAGGATGCTCACCACTAATGTATCACATTAAAAAATGATTCCCTGTTCCTTTCTAATCCTAGAATATTGCATGGATGCATATTTTACTTGATTATAATCATGGTTCACTGACCCTTTTGTTTTCTGCCCTTTTAACATACTATTCTGTTATTTGGTGTCTGTTATTCTGTGAAAGATTTCTCAGGTTCAGGAGTCTGGGGTTGCAGTTCCAGTGAACTAAACCATGAGGATTATTCCCTCCACAGATTCTAGGGCAGTACTGGAAATGGGGAACGCAGCCATCAACACACCAGCAACTTGAAGTAAATGTCTAGAAGATGTAAGCAGATAGAACTGGAATGATGAAAACCAGTCAGAACAACCTACAGTGGGACAGAGGTAAAGGCACACGGCTGATTCACTTTCCCAGCAGAGCCAGAGACAGCAAAGACTGCTGTTGGACAAAGAGAGAGGCTTCAGAAGATAAGACACTTCTTGGAATATTTGAAACAATTTTTAGGTATTTTGTCCAACAGACATGGCAGCACAGGTATAAAAAAGATGAATGCATGAAAATTTTCATTAAGGCATGATTTGTTATAAGGAAGACCTGAAAATACCAAGCCAAACCAAACAACGTAAATAGGTAGCAATCAGATTTATGACATAAGTCAGAATAATTGTATATAAGGAAGTACTATGCAGTGGTTTCAAAGACTCGGATCAGTTTTTCCTGACATGAAAAGATGTCCATGAAACACTAAATGAAAAAATCAAAGAAGAGATAAAACTGCCATTATTCATAGGAAATATAATTGTCTAGTAGACTTTCAATGGACAAATTAGTGGATTTAATAAGAAATTTAGCAAGGAGTCAGATATTAGATGAATACACGGAAATCAATAGTTTTCCTCTATGTTGACAATAACCAGTTAACAATAGAAAAAAAGAATCGTTACATCAGTAAAAGACTATAAAATAGGTAGGAATAAACTAATAAGAGCTGCATAGGAGTCCCATATTAAAAAAATACTGTAAAAGATCTGAAAAAAATGGAGCAGTGCACTAGATTCCGCTGTTGAAGTGATCAAACGAGGCAGCCAGTAGATGAAGCGGCTCTCGTGTCTTGGCAGCCTGCATAAGAAAACTGAAATCTTTGCCAGAGTCAATTTCTGTAAAGGCCTCAAGGTTAAGAACAACCAGTCACAAATAGCCCACTAGGTTTCCCCGATTAACGCACTGCTTAACCTATAGAGCCAAATAATTGCCTCGTCTACTCCCAAGTCTTCTCTAAAAAAATCTCTCCCCTAGCTCATCCGTGGAGTCCTCCAGACGCTTCCAGCGATCCCATTCCAACTGTTGTTTGCTCAAATAAACTCTTAAAAATTTGAAAATGCCTCAGTTTATCTTTTAACACTGCAAAGCATGACCTTTGATAAGAATCAGCTTGTCAAATCCCACTGAAAAATCCCATCAGGGTTATACTGACTATATAGATAAATTTGGGAATAATGAACATCTTTTTAATATTTGGTCCATTTTTGTTAGATTTTGTCACTCCTTTGTGCAAATCCTCCATGACGTTCCACTTCATTATCACTGAAGATCTGCTCCTCAGTTTCTCTTTGACCTTATCCACTGGGATTCACCTCCTTACTCCGCTGCAGCCACACTGGCCACCTCCTTGTTCTAGGAGGCACTCGCCCTTCTAGGAGGCACTGGGCCTTGTACACTCTTCCCAGAGATCATCCTGGATCACTCTCTCATGTCCCTGAGGTCCTTGCTCGAATACTTCAGCTTCTCAGTGAAGGTTTCCGTGAGCGTCCGGTGTGAGCCTGCATGTCTCCCATCCAATGTTTTCCGTCCCTTTCCCTGTTTTATCTCCTTAGCACTTACATCACCTAATGTATTATATCCTTACTTATTTTGTATATTATTGATCTTGTCCTAACCTCCACCTTCACACTTTAATAGAGGGTCACTGAGACAGGTTTTGTCTGTTTTGTACACTGCCATTTCCCTAGAATGGGTCCTACCCTAAGACAGGTGCTTGGCACATGGTAGGTGCTCAATAAGCACCTGATGAATAAGATATAACAGGAAAGGCTATTCGTAATGATTCATAATGATTACTTGTGAGGAATATTCCAGGGTAACTTAAAACTTTTTTTACATTATCTTTCTTAATGGTTTGACATTTAAAAACAGTGTGCCTAAGTTATTACTTCTATAATAAAAAGTAAGATATGTATCAAAATATAATGGCAATTATTTTCTTTTTTTAATTTTGGTATCATTAATATACAATAACATGAGCAACACTGTGGTTACTAGATTACCCCCATTATCAAGTCCCCACCACAAACCCCATTACAGTCACTGTCCATCAGCGTAGTAAAATGCTATAGAGTCACTACTTGTCTTCTCTGCGGCAATTACTTTTTATGTGAAATAAATGCTACCACTTATTAAAGACTAGTGCTAAGGGGTTTAGGTAATCACATTTTGATCTTCATAACAATCCTGCGACAGAAGTATTATTACGATAAACACCTGAGGAAATGGAGACTCAATGAGGTTAATGCAAGTTAGTTTGTGCTGGGGCTGGGATTCGAACCTAGCTCTGCTGGCTGCTTATACCCACTCACTTTCCAGTGCAGAATCCCATCTCCCAGCAGAAGCTAAGAAATCAAACTACTCACTTGACTCCTTTTTGTTGGACATTTCTTGAAGCCAACTTTCTTCTGTTTGTACTGATATTGGAACTCCTGGATATAAATTGTAATAGGTGGTTCTGAAATTTAGATGAAATGTTAGTTTTCAGCATACCTACAGAGTTGTTAGGAGTTCTTCTATAGTACAGTTAGCAATCAAATAATAAATATGCAACAAAGATCCTGAGTTCTATTTTCTTTGAAATATTACCCCTCATTCTTATCTCTTAGGTAAAGTCAGGCACAGTGTGTTCGCATCATATCTATTCTTTGGGAAGTATGCCTTTCTAAATGC